CCTCCGCGCCCGCCGCCTCCCGCTCCAGCCCGGCTCATTCCGCACATTCCGGCCAGCCCCCTCCCCACGACCCCCCTCCACGGCCCCCCTCGCCGCTCCCTCGGGCCTGGCGGAGCGGCCCGGCCGGAGCGCCCCCCCGAGCTCGGACCAGGTAAGCCGGTCGGACGCCGGGAGGAGGCCCTGCGGGGAGAGAAGGTTTGGTTGGTCGGTTGTGGATGGAGGGGGGCAGTTTAGGGGGGCTGGAGCCCCGAGCTATTGTCCAGCCCGAGCCCGAGCCCCGGATCTGGGTGCCGGGAAGTTTAGAGGGAAGGGGGGGCAAATCTCTCCGGGAAGCCCCGCCCACTACCACTCCGCGTTCGGGACGAGTTGGTCCTGGGAGGTAGGGGAACCCGGGAGTGGGTCCCCCGTGCCATCTCCTGCCTTAGTGCCCGCGTTTGGGGTATTAGGGGGAGGGCCCGGCAGCCGCATATATGGGGGGCCTGCCACCGGGGAGCTTGTCCCGGGGCGTCCAGTCCCGGGCCTCGCCGCCCTTTGGACTCCCGGCTCCCGGCCCGCGCTCTCCCGGCGCCCGCCGGGCCCCAGCTCCACTCAGGCCTCGGCCCGGCCTCGGCTCCGGCGCGCGGTGCCCGCGGCTGCGCTGGCGTGGGCAGGGCGTCTGGGGGCAAAGCTTGAGTTCTGAGTCCCGGGACAGGCGGGGGGGCTACGGTTTCCCCATAGATCTGCAGCCTGCGTGGAACTGGGGGCTTGGGGTGCCCCAGCGCTGAGCGCGGTGAGCCGATCCCCGAGGAGTCTGGATTTGGGGCCTTCTCTTAGCCACACTTCCCCAGGGATCTTGTCTAAATTTTAGAGGGTTTGAAGGCAGTCGCCCGCCCCCCACTTCCCACCACAGACCCCACCATTGTCAGGCCTGTCTGAAGGGAGAGGCCCAGGGGCTGCCTGTCCTTGCCTGCCTGCCCAGAACAGTCCAGGCCCTAGAGCGGTGTCATTGAGTCCCTACCCTGTCACCTTTCCGGGAAAGGAGCCCTGATTTGAAACTGAGAGATTGTTTTGGGGGGCAAAAGAGAATGAGGCCTTGGGTGAGGGCATGTAGGGGCCGCCTTGTCTATGTCTTCCCCTCTCCAGGTAGAGGCGGGACAGGTCAGGCCTAGACTTGTAGCCCCGGAGAGCAGGGGATCGTGGTGGAGGCTGGACACAGCCCTGAGGGGCCTGGTGCCCGTGCTTCTCTGTACACACCCCACCCAGTGAAGACCTCCTTGGCACGGATGGTTGCTGGGGCATCCAGACTCCCGTAGCTCCCTTTCCCAGACCCGTTTTCTAGGGCATGCCCCACCTCCCTGCCAGGATGTAGTAGCTCTTTGGGTTCTGAAGAGGAACTGTGATTTATCCTCCAAGACTAGGCTGTCTGGGAAGGGTGGGCTCAGGGATCCCTGGTGCCCCTTCCTGAACAATAGGCCATGGGCCAGTGGGAGTCTAAGCTTCATGGGCCTTCCCCAGGGAGGAGGCCATAATTAACGCTCACTAACGCATTTGGATCAAGGAATGCCTGTGAGCTGTCTGAGGTGGGTGGCGGGGAGTGGTCCTCCTGGGCTCTGTGCATCAGGGGTCCTGGGCCTTGCTTCGCACCCTCAGTTTCGCACACTCCTGGGGTCTTCAGAAAGTTTATAGGTAAAACAGTGGACGTTGAAAGATCACGAAATTTCTCCACACATTTTTGAAGCCCCCGGACGGAAGAACACTAAAATCAGGAGATCTCTCAATCTGAGAAAGTGAAGAAGTGGGGGATCTGTTCCCAGCTGGCCGCTCACCTTTCCCCAACTGTGTCCTCTTGGTGGGCCGGCAGGCCTCAGTTTCCCTACTTGAAATAGATGTCTGCCTTCTTCCTCCTGCCACTGTGGATCTGGGACTTGGTGGCTGTCTGGCGAGGAGGATGAGGTGATTGAAGAAGGCGGTGAGGGTGAACCAGGGGGTGACTGAGGAGTCACTCGATCAGCTGAGCCAGGCTGGAAAGGTGGCAGGTGGCCCGGGACAGGGTGGTGAGTGAAGCTAAGGAACTTGCCCTCTGAAGTGGGATTGAGGGCTGGCCCTGGTGGGGTCTGGCAGGGCACATGGCACAGGTGCTGGTGGTCAGAGACCACTCGAATGGCCAGCCCCCTTGCCTCTCTCACAGCCCCCCCCCCCCAAACTGGGGCCTCCCTGAGGATGAGTATGGCAGTTAGCAAAGCACCGAAGCTGTCAGGCCTGCCCACCTCCTCCGCCTCCCTCAGGAAGGGGAGAGGGGCTCACAGTGAGGAGAGTGCAGGTGGGCCTCTAAATGCTGCAGCTTGCTGTGGAAGTATCCAGGGGGTCACAGCCTCGTCTTCCCACAGAGGCCTGTAAGAGCTGTGAGGAGTGACGGTGGGGTCAGGTTGGGTTGG